AAAAAAAAAAAAAAACAAGTTAGTCCTGAGTATCTAAGAAAAAGTACATGAGAGTTAGTTGTTTTCCCACTGAAGTTTCCTAAGGAAAACACACCCCTAAGGAAAATACACCAAAATATAACAGGAAATAATACTCCGACAGAAACTCGCTTTATTTAACCCCTTTCAGAATCACATGGTGCATTATGACAAGATGCACCCTAATATGCATGGCTCAGCTGTAGGGAAACACAGTTCTCAGCAGAGTGGAAACAGCTGGAACACGACCCAACATCTGCACCCTCACCAGTGTTGAGCCCTCATGACTAACTAGCTCTCAGGATTCATTCAACTTCTTTTCCTCCTAAAAACTAATGAGAAAATGACCCTCTCCAGCTCTCTTCACAGCCCCTCACTTCCATTACCTGCAATTCTGGGAGTTCTTTTAAAAACAACCACAGTTTTCATGTATGACATTCCAGAACAGTCAGAGAACCACAGTTTTCCCATCTTCCCCCCCATTTGCAGAGGGCACGCTACAAGGATAAAGTTGGGAGGAGGGAGGACTGGGAAGTCCATAAAGTTGACCGTCACATGGAAGCACTTTCTGTAAGATCCTTAATTTCAACCACTTGCTGGCACTGTTCGGGTCCCATGCTGAAATTTACTATAGTCTGGGCTAGAAACATGCATTGTTTTGGAACATTTTCTTGATCTCTTGCCCGATTTACCATTCAAAAAACCAAAAAGTCTCAGTTCTCATGACTTCACCAATAGAGAGATTACGTATTTCTGCCCATTCGAAAACAGAACTGTTTTTAAAATTCCACATTTTGGAAAAACTCCATGAAAACTGGAAGATCACTACCCAACATGTGTGCCTGCGCGTGCTCACAGCATCACCCTAAGAGTTTTTTCACCCACAGAGGGCACGCCCAGAACAGAGTTCACCATTCTGTTTAATGACTGCTATTCCAGAAAGACTCATGTGGTTAGTAAGGTGTGTAGGACTTAACCTCACTTACATCAGAATTCTTTAGTGAACTGTCAGTCTCCAAACTCTCTTGGTGAGCAAAGAGAGACAACAGGGTGTCTAAGAGGATGGAAAGTCAGATTACTTACCTTGTGCAAAGGGAGCACAAGGAACGCTCCTCCCCCACTCGCTTCTATGATAATGGCAACAAATCTGGGATTGACAGCACAAAAGGAACTATCCCAGGTCACACGCGAAACCCGGATGTCATCATAACACTGGTCATTTTTCACCGCTTGTCCAAAGACATGCCGAAACTTGCTCTGTCGTACCACTCGCCTCATCGTGTCTGCAGAAGAGCAAAGATTGCATTAAAATTACACACCTAACTGGAAGCTTTACGTGTACAAATGAAAAGCTCAAAGTAGGAAAAGGCAGAATGCAATGGCATCCTGTCTGCGCTCCTGAAACAGTAGCCAAACAGCAAATCCAAATTTCCTTCAGCGGTGCATACCCAGAGAAAACTGCAAAATGCGTCAGGGAAAGAATTACAGTGAAATGAAAAATTCCTAATTCAAGATCCAGAAACAGTTCATCAGTTTTAATTTCAGGAAAAAGATCAAGGCAAAAGTTAGCCCCTAAAGATAGGGTGGGAATTGAAAGATGATTCACTTCAACCCTCCCCTCCCCCTCAGATAAGAAAATGACAGGGAGATGTGAAGCTAAAGAAACTGTGCCCCCACCCCTTCTCTGCAGGTCAGGAAACACTGGCCTTTTCCTCCACGGCCAAGGGAATTCTCCATTCTCAGGCATTTCCCCGGATACGGGCACTGCCAGGCCGCCGCACCTGCCGAGTGCACCCACAAGGCCACCTGCACATGCAGAGCATTCAGCTTTGTCTTGGGAGTCTCCCAGTCTACACCCAACAGGGGCTCAGGACAGGGCCTGAGGATGGCCGACACCAAAAAGTAGCGAGGACTGAAATGGAAAGTGGTGCAAGAGAAGTGACACTGGCGATGACAGCAGGAGAGCCGCACACTGGACCTACCAGCCAGGGAGAAGCCACAAGCAAGGCGCAGGGCCGGGGATGACCACGGCCACAGCAGCTGGACAGAGGGAGGAGAAGAGCTCGGGAAGGGGACAAAGCCAGGATGGGGCTCATGAGAGCTGCTCATTCTCCAAAGTTACCTTCCAGGTAAGCCAGGGAACCTGGGGGGTTGTGTGGGGGTGGGGAGGGGGGTGACATCGAACTGATGCTACCTGGACTTCCTCAAGGGTCATTTCAGAATATTCCACTAGACTGTCCAATGCCCACAGGCACTGAAAGTGCCGCACTTTGGGTAACCGGGTCCCACCTGCTGAGGTTTCCCACACTGTGCTCAATGTCTGTCTGCGGAAGCAGGGTATTTCTGAGCACAATGGCTAGAAGCGGTGCCTAGAGAGAACTCAGGTGGAAAGGGAATCTGGTCAAAACTGATGACTCAGCTGAACACCAGCCCTCCTCCAGCGGAAAGCTAACACCTGTCCACGCACACCAAATGGGGCACACGGTGGGCTGCTCCACTTCTCTTATTTCCTTCCTCACGGCCCTGCGCCCACTGCTAACTGCAAAAGGAAAGCACTTATTTTGCCAGAGCCTCCTTCTGTCCTTCCAAGACATGTGCTAAAGTGGCCTCTCTGCAATCTTGGGGCACGCGGCTGCGCCGAGGCAACAGGCCCTAGGCAGGCAGAGCTCCCAGCCCGCCGTGGCCAGCCCTTTCGGGCTGACTGTCAGGACCGCGCACGCAGAGCACCAGGTACAGAGATGGCAGATGATACGCCTGCGCTCGGACGGGTCCTGCACTGGTGACATGGTGTGAGAACCTCTCGAGCATAGCGGGCAAGACTGCTTCCATGAAGTGGCAAAACCAAAAGGAAAGCACATCCACAGAAAAGCCAAGGGACAGCCCACAGTCGGTCGTGGGATCCCCTTCCCTATACAACCACCCGCGGGAGTTAGCGAAAGCTACAATCCCACCGGCTAGTATTCCCAAAGTAAGCTAACACAGGAGAAAGGGCCGCACTGTATACCAAACAGTTACCACCCTTTACATACAAAAAGTTTTTACAAATTCGAAGCATGAAAACCCCATGAGAAAATTACAAGAATATGAAGAGGTAATTTACAAATGAAATACAGCGTTTATCTCCACTCTATCTTAAAACCCTGGTAAAATGACAGCAAAGGAATAAAGAGGTGTCAGCACCAAAATACTGATGGAAAAAACTGGGAAGAAGCCTGTAAGAGAACAAATGTAACAAAAAGTTCTGGAAGACACAAGCCACAAGTGTCTGTGTGTAACTTTCAAAATGTGAGGGCTCTCCACTAAAGTCACAAAGAAACCCCAAGCGCTGAGCAGAGAAAGACAAGACTGGGGTCTCCCGGATGGCCTAGGGGTTAAGTCTCGGTACTACTACTGAGATGGCCTGAGTTCGATCCCCTGCCAAGGAGCTGACCCACATGGCACAGCAGACCTCCTGTCTCATCTGCGGCTCCCCTCAGCAGTGCATTTCAGTAAATCTGCCTGTTGTGCTCCCCACTCTGCCTCTGGTGAATCCTCTTACCACCCTACACCTCTAGTCTGCACCCCAGTTCTTCTACACAAAAATAATTAATAAAATCTTTTTAAAAATAAAGAAATAAAGACAAGAATGTGGGACAAGGACTGCAGAGAGAATGGACTGAAAGCTGAATTACGACCAGTTGACACCTGTGTCCCCTGCCTCAGTGTTGCACAATCAGGAGACTACCCACACCTGTGCCAGAGGCCACATCACAGGCCCCTACACACAATAATACCCGGCACAGGTGAGCACAGGTGTGGGCAGGTGCCCCAGTGAAAACCTGGTCCTGTACAATGGAACTTCCAGCCCCTTACTCCTAGGGCATCCAGAACACTGGCCGGAGGCCTACAATGCCACTCACCCACCTGCCCTCGCTGAGGTCCACCATTCAACCAGTGACCTCCACTCACACAGTGAGTGACCGAATTCTGCTCTGCTCACTGCACAGCAGAATAAGAAAAAGACCAGTGCTTCCATAGCACCGTGCTCACTGAGCCAGGGATGTCCAAGCAGAGCTTGAAAGGCAGTATGAGGCCATTAGCCTCCAAGGTGGAACTTGGTCTGGGCTTAGATGACCAAGTGTCACCAAAGCTTTGGCTGCCCAGTGTCTCAGATCCTCTAGGTATACGACAAGGAAAAGCAGTTAATCAAGAGGGCAGGTTCCAGAGTCAGGCTGCCTCCTGAGTGAGTGAATGAGAAGTACAGCAGATCATTTACTTCTGGGCCATGGATCAGTAGGGTAATTCACTGATTCTCCATTAACGTTGGGTTCTCTGCCGGAAAATGGGTACAATACACATAAAGCTGAAGTAATCATTAAATGAGCACTTTACTATGGCACGTTAATTATGCTGAAGTTTATATGGTTAGAAATATAACTAATCACACAATAAACGTCAGCTACTGTTATCCTAGTACTTGACATAAATCTATCTGGAGTCAAATGCTAACCATATTTTAGCCATAATTTTAGCAAATTATTTAACCTTTCTGAGTCTCAGCTTCATCATTTATAAAAGTTTTAAAAAATGATATCTATAATAAGAATAAAAAACAGATGGCTTCACCACTGAAGTCTAGCATTTTAGGAATGCCAATTCTTCATATTCTTCCAAACATTAAAAGAGGAAAGAACACTTTCAAACTAATTTTGAGACATTACTGATACTAAGATCAAAGACATCACAAGAAAACTAGACCTATTATCACTAATGAAAAGATGCAAAAACCCTTAACAAAATACTAGCAGTCCAAATCTAGCAAAATCTCAAAAGAATTATATAACATGAGCAAATGGAACTTACCCTAAGAATACAAGGTTGGTTCAACATCTGAAAATCAACTAATGTAACATATCAATCAAATAAAAACACAAAAATCATCTGATCATTTCACACACAGAAAATGCATGACAAAGTCCAATGTGCTCATGAAAAAGAACATTCAACAAACTAGGAAGAAAAATTATTTTCCTCAACCTGATTATGAAAAAAAATTCCAAATTACACACTATTCAGTGGTGAAAGATGCTTTGTCCCTAAGATCAGGAGCCAAACAAGGATCATGTTCTTGCCACTTCCATTCAGCAACGTACTACAGATTCTAGCCAGGGCAATTAGGCAAGAAAATTCAGTGAAAGACACTCATATTGGAAAGAAAGAAGTAAAATTATCTGAGTGCAGATGAAATGATCTTCCATTTTTTAGAGAAAATTCCTAAGAACCCACTAAAAAGCTGTAAGAAATAACAAACAAGTTCAACAAGGTTGTAAGAGATCACTGTGCAAAAATGACAGATGTATATTTATAGCAAGTAATATGAAGATGAAATAACTCTATTCAAAGTAGTACAAAAAGAGTAAAATACTTAATGTAAAAAAGAGTAACTTACTAGTCAAGAAGATGAAAGAGTTCTACAGTCAAAACTATAAAACAAGTAAATGGAAAGACATTGTGTGGTCACGAGTCAGAAGACTTTATAGTAATATGACAATACTCCCCAAACTGAACTGGAGAGTGTATGCAACCGGTCAGAATCCCAGCCGATTTCTTCAAGAAAATTGACAAACAGATTCTAAAATTCACATGGAATTACAAGGGACACAAAATTAGCCAAAATAACCTTGAAAAAGAGCAGGTTAGAGATTCACGCTTCCTGATTTCAATGCTTACCACAAAGCAGAGGAAATCAAGATGCTGAGGAGACTGGAAGAGGGTAGATAGATAAGCCAGTGGAATAGAGCTGAAAGTCCAGAAATAAATTCATACATCTTTGGTGAAGTGATTTTCAAAAAGAGTACTTAACCCATTCAGTGGGGAAGAGCAGAATTTCCAACAAACGGTACTGGGACCATTAGACAGGAGTTCTCGTGCAAAGGAAGTTGGGCCTTGATCTCTCACCACATAAGAATTTAATTCAAAAATAGATGACGACTCAACTGTAACAGTTAAAATTATAAAATTCTTGGAGTAAATCTTATTGACCTAGGATCTGACACAGGGTTATTAGGATACCAAAAGCATGAGCAACAAAAGATAAAACTGGACATCATCAAAATTTAGGAAGGATACCAAAAGCCCAAGTGATAAAAATAAATTAGACATCATTATGAAAGTGAAACTTTTGTGCTTCAAAGGTCACCACTGGGAGAAAAAGACAACCCACAGACAAGAGAAAATTTTTGCAAATCATTTATCTGATAAGGCACCCATATCTAGACTACATTAAAAAATCCTACAACTCAAT